GTAATTCGTCGACGGAGTTGGAAATTTCGGGTGCGCTCGCAGTCGCAGTCGCAGTCGCAGTCGCAGTCGCAGTCGCAGCGGCGGCGGTTGCGGTGGCATGGCTGCTGCAGGCTGCAGTCACGGCAGCCACTAGCCATCGACGTGCTGCTAACGAAACGGGCAAACGAGTACCCGCGGAACGCGATCAATACTCCGTACACGAGTGCACACTGGTCGGAGCACGTGTTCCCGTTTGTTTTGTTCTTTGCCCCTGCAGCTCGCGCGAGAACCCGAGCCCGAGCCCGAGCCCGAACCAAGCTGTTACGGTTCGCCTCGCGACCCTTCGGCCCTGCTACCTTCTTTCCGATCTTCCTCGACCCACCAACGTTTTCGCGTCTTCCCAGCAAATTCTCGTCGCATTCTCGTTTGCTCGAAAACGCTTTCTATTCGAGAAAATTATCGCTCGTACGCGTCCCGTCGAAATACGATACCGACCGAGTTTCAGAAATCGAACAGAAAATAGAACGTCCAGGAAATCGCAACGTTTTCTCTCGCAGAGGATGCAACCGAACGCGACAGAAAGTTGCAGGAATCGTAGGTCGCGTCGGTGGTTACGCGTGCTCTCTCGGGGCGAGCGTGTCGTCCGCGGGCTAAGAACGGGGACCGCGTTACGGCCAGCAACAAATGGAACGCGTTTTCCGACGAGATTCTTCTCGGTGAAATGGAACGTTTATTCGGTGAGAGCGCGGTGGAGGGAGAAGGAAGAGACGGAGTGCGAGAGAGAGAGAGACTCCGCGCGCCGGATATAGAAAGGGGAAAACAAAGAGGAGAGGGAAGTTTGTATCTGGAGCAACGGTATCAATGTTCGGGCAGCGCTCGCTCGGGTCCAAGAGGTTAAGCCGAGTTTGCACGGCAACGTAAACTCGGGCGCGCGCCGCAGGTGGGCCACTGCACGTGCGCGGCCGCCAGAAATCCGGCGAAATTCGATCGATTCCGGCGAAAGGAGGAAGGTTCGACGTACATTCGGGTGCAATCGAGCCACCCGTCGCGGCCGCAGCCAGCCCGGCCGCGGCCGTTTGCACCGTCCTGGAATCGACCGTCGACCGTCGACCGTCGACCGTCGAGCGTCGAGCACCGGAGCGCACCCTAAGAAACCGAGTGGTCTCTTGACCCCGATATATCGCCACCGGGGTGCGTTCTCTTCGCGCGATCGAAACCCGACCTTGGCTTCGAGACCGATGCGCCCGGGTTCGAGAGCAGCGCCTCCTGCTCCTCCTCCTTCTCTCGTCTTCTCCTTCGCGACGACGTCTCTCGCGCCGTCACGATCGCGCCCGAACGAACCGATCGCCCTCGACTATCGAGAGCCGGATACGCGTACAGGACGACGCCACCTCGCGCCCGGAAATTCTGTCGGACCGCGGTCCGCTCGCTCGAAATCTTTCCGAGCCAGCCGGCTGGCTGGAATCTCTTTCGGAATTACGCGATACGCCGTTCGCTGGTAGGGCGCTCGTTGGATTCCGGATTCCGGGTTCGACGCGTTTGCGGGAAAACCGGGTAGGATCGATCGCGAAACAGCGGTACCGTTTAGCGTCGCGTCGACGGTTCCACTTATACGAATATACGCGGTACCTCCGTCTTCCGATCGACGCGGAGAACCTTGCGATCGCGGAGATCGCTCGCGTAGGGAGGGACAACCGGCCGATCGGGGGGACTTTCAACGAAGAGCAGCGATACGAACCGAAATAAATATTCGTCGACGTGCACGGAGTTGGTCTCCGACGCCTCGAAACTCGAAACTCGAAACGCGTTCGCGCCGGACACGCGCTGTCCGGTTCCGGTGCTCGCAACGCGCGCGTCCCCGGAACAGGTTCCTGCGACCGCAGAGTTATGAAAAGCCGCGCGATGAAAAATTCATTTCGAACGGACGATGAAAAGTTAAACGACTCCGATAGGGTAGCGCCGAGACTCGAGCTCGGACTCGAGAGACGGGCGATCCCGTGGAAAAAGTAACGGTCACCTTTGTGGCCGATCCTCGCCGAGCCGTCTACCTCGAGCCGCGCGCGCGCGCGCGCGCGATTCGATCGAGAACGAAACGATCGCGAGAGCGAGAGGAAGAGCGAGAGGGAGAGCGAGCGCTCGCCGAACCGATCGATCTTCTCTCCTCTTCCGCCTACCGTTTCCACGAGGAAACACCCTCCGGCGCTTATTACGCGCACGGTGATCGCGACAGATTCGGCCGATTTTCTCCGCGCGCCGTTTCCCAAAAAATCGGATAGAAGATCGATTCGATTCGTCGTTGTTGCGAGGTTGCGTCTTCGACGAGTCCGTTAGGAGTTCCAGGATCGATCGTCGATCGACGAACGCGGATATTCTCTTTCCACCGAAGAAAAGCCGCCGAAGCCTCGATCGTCGGTTCCAATCGTCGATTCCGTCCAGCCGTGTCGCAGAGGTCGAACACGCTGCCCGGCAGAGTCCCGTGTCGTTTTTCGAAGGCGATTCGAAACCGGAGTATGCCGATTTTTCGGTTCGATCGAGGACCGATCGAGGACCGATCGAGTCACCGATTCGCCGCGCCAATCTTATCCTTCTTCTCTTCGGAAACCGCGCGGCAACTAGAAGCGGAGCCGCGATAAACGACCGCGCTCCGTAGAGTTCAGCCAGCCTAGATCCGGAATATTTCAGCATTCGCACGCTTTTCGACGATGAATCAACGCTCGAACAAGAGTCGAAGATGCAGGAAGACCGTGCGCGTCGGCCGAGAGACGGTAGCAGCAACGTCGAGCTCCTCCGACCCCGGTTCGTTTCGTTCTGGAAGAATCTTCGAACAATGCCGACAACTCGCCGAGTTGCCGAGTCTCCGATTTCCGACGCTTTCCGGCGATTTTAAATAAGATATCGTGCTGGTTCGGTCGCGCGGTCATTGGACAAGTTTTCTAAGAATTCTGGAACGGGGCCGGGAGTCGAGCGTACGCGAGGATCTAACCGATTTCGCGATAAAAAGCGCCCAGGCGCGAGGGTTCGGTGTCCGATCGGTTCGCGTTTTCGCAGAGGAAAACGCAGGACACAGGATGCGGACAAGGTCGCGGTCGATGGGTAATCGCGCACGTAATCCCAAGCGCACTTCCGTTATGCAGTTGAAAATTAGCCGGCCAGTGAATGGAAGAGGCGGTGTTGGTGTTGGTGTTGGTGTTGGTGGCGGTGGTGGCGGTGGTAGTTGTGGTGGTGGTTATTGCGGTGGTGGTGCTGGTGGCGGTGGTGGTGGTGGTGTCAGAGCCGTCAGAGGCGGCAGCAGAAGCAGCGACGGCGGGCTTCAATCAACTCGCGAAGAATGATACAACTGCGACTAAACCCTCTGTTATACGCACGCCCACATCCCGTGCGCCCCGAACCATTATAAAAACGGCGGAACACGCGACATCGGCGCATACTGTGCTCGCGAAAGTGTCGGACAACGGTCGGAAAAGAAAAAGGGAGTCAAGCCGGTAGATTCGAGCCGAGACCGAAGACGACGACGACGACGACGAGGACGACGACGAGGACGACGACGAGGACGACGACGACGACCGCGACGACGACGACGAGGACGACGACGAGATGGCTAGCAAACACGGACTGCTGTTCCTCGGCCTCGTCTACCTGCAGGCCGCCCTCGTTCGCGCCGTGGTAAGACCTCGACGAGGGTTCGGACACGGCCCCCGCTCGACCCCGCGTCAGCCTCCGCAGAGCCGCAGCCACCATCGCGATCGGTATCGGGGACCGGGGTCTCGAAGGGACGTTCTTATCTCGGATCGCGTTCCATCGTTCCGCGCACGACCGGATCGAGCCGAATCGTTTCGATCGTCTCTCCGATCGTTGCTTCGACGCGAAGATAGCTTCATTCGGGACGCGTACGAAACGGTTTGCGCCGGACCGATTCGTTCGCGACGATATCGAGCCGCGCGCCCGGAAATAACGAGACGAATGCCCGTTGCGAGTTGCGAGTTGCGAGTTGCGAGTTGCGGTTTCGAGTTGCGAGACCCCGCTGATCGATAATCGGGGGCAAGTGGGTTCGACGCGTTGGAGTTAGAGGGGAACCCCTAATTGGAGCGTGTCGAGTTTCGCGGTGCACGGTCGCATCGACGCGAAGCGTCGCGCCGATCGCGGGCGCCGCGTCGACGAAACCGGTAGGGTTCGCGTTTTTCCGGATCTTTTCTCTCGCCCGTTGTTCCCGTTCCTCTTTCCTTTTCGACTCTAATTTCGATTCCGGTTCCTCGGCAACGTTCGCGCGACGTCCGTTACAACGCGGCGCATCGATCCGCGCGCATCGACCGAAATTCCTAATGGACAGACTGCGCGGGGAGCGACGCGTAAACCGCACCCGGAAACGCGGACGTTGGCTCGGTCGATTCTCGTTTCTTTTATTCCAACGCGCCGATCCGAACGCATCGCGGCTATCGACGAAACTCGCTCGTCTCCGGGAGCGAAACGGGCTCGATGCTTCGGAACGCACCGACCGCGACCGACCCCGACACGGGGCTCCATCGATCGCGACAACTTTTCGCTCGGCTTTCGCGCACCGATTTTACGAAACGCGTTCTTGTTACTCAAATTCGATCCGATCTCTCGGACGTGTTCGGAATGCCGAGAAAATTCTGTAAAAACTTGCCGTGGTAGCGACCGATGCCCGATTTCAAACTGTACAAGAATAACCTTGTACTCGAGGATCCGTATCGACACCGAGATCGATTCTACTCGGAGATCCCCGAATAATTGCCGCGTCGGGCTCTTCTTCCATCCGCGTTCTAATCGCGNGTGTCCGATCGGTTCGCGTTTTCGCAGAGGAAAACGCAGGACACAGGATGCGGACAAGGTCGCGGTCGATGGGTAATCGCGCACGTAATCCCAAGCGCACTTCCGTTATGCAGTTGAAAATTAGCCGGCCAGTGAATGGAAGAGGCGGTGTTGGTGTTGGTGTTGGTGTTGGTGGCGGTGGTGGCGGTGGTAGTTGTGGTGGTGGTTATTGCGGTGGTGGTGCTGGTGGCGGTGGTGGTGGTGGTGTCAGAGCCGTCAGAGGCGGCAGCAGAAGCAGCGACGGCGGGCTTCAATCAACTCGCGAAGAATGATACAACTGCGACTAAACCCTCTGTTATACGCACGCCCACATCCCGTGCGCCCCGAACCATTATAAAAACGGCGGAACACGCGACATCGGCGCATACTGTGCTCGCGAAAGTGTCGGACAACGGTCGGAAAAGAAAAAGGGAGTCAAGCCGGTAGATTCGAGCCGAGACCGAAGACGACGACGACGACGACGAGGACGACGACGAGGACGACGACGAGGACGACGACGAGGACGACGACGACGACCGCGACGACGACGACGAGGACGACGACGAGATGGCTAGCAAACACGGACTGCTGTTCCTCGGCCTCGTCTACCTGCAGGCCGCCCTCGTTCGCGCCGTGGTAAGACCTCGACGAGGGTTCGGACACGGCCCCCGCTCGACCCCGCGTCAGCCTCCGCAGAGCCGCAGCCACCATCGCGATCGGTATCGGGGACCGGGGTCTCGAAGGGACGTTCTTATCTCGGATCGCGTTCCATCGTTCCGCGCACGACCGGATCGAGCCGAATCGTTTCGATCGTCTCTCCGATCGTTGCTTCGACGCGAAGATAGCTTCATTCGGGACGCGTACGAAACGGTTTGCGCCGGACCGATTCGTTCGCGACGATATCGAGCCGCGCGCCCGGAAATAACGAGACGAATGCCCGTTGCGAGTTGCGAGTTGCGAGTTGCGAGTTGCGGTTTCGAGTTGCGAGACCCCGCTGATCGATAATCGGGGGCAAGTGGGTTCGACGCGTTGGAGTTAGAGGGGAACCCCTAATTGGAGCGTGTCGAGTTTCGCGGTGCACGGTCGCATCGACGCGAAGCGTCGCGCCGATCGCGGGCGCCGCGTCGACGAAACCGGTAGGGTTCGCGTTTTTCCGGATCTTTTCTCTCGCCCGTTGTTCCCGTTCCTCTTTCCTTTTCGACTCTAATTTCGATTCCGGTTCCTCGGCAACGTTCGCGCGACGTCCGTTACAACGCGGCGCATCGATCCGCGCGCATCGACCGAAATTCCTAATGGACAGACTGCGCGGGGAGCGACGCGTAAACCGCACCCGGAAACGCGGACGTTGGCTCGGTCGATTCTCGTTTCTTTTATTCCAACGCGCCGATCCGAACGCATCGCGGCTATCGACGAAACTCGCTCGTCTCCGGGAGCGAAACGGGCTCGATGCTTCGGAACGCACCGACCGCGACCGACCCCGACACGGGGCTCCATCGATCGCGACAACTTTTCGCTCGGCTTTCGCGCACCGATTTTACGAAACGCGTTCTTGTTACTCAAATTCGATCCGATCTCTCGGACGTGTTCGGAATGCCGAGAAAATTCTGTAAAAACTTGCCGTGGTAGCGACCGATGCCCGATTTCAAACTGTACAAGAATAACCTTGTACTCGAGGATCCGTATCGACACCGAGATCGATTCTACTCGGAGATCCCCGAATAATTGCCGCGTCGGGCTCTTCTTCCATCCGCGTTCTAATCGCGAGCTTTCCAGATCTCGTTGCCATTGTACGGGCTCGACCGAGCGAATCGCGGTCCCTCCGTCGCATTTGGACCGAGCGCCGCGCCTCGCCGCGTCGCGTGTACGCGTTTGCGCGCGCGTACCCGACAATGAGATGGCCGGACTCTGGCGAGTCTGGCTGCCAGATGCGTCAGAGTCAGCGTCGACGTTACCGGACCCGTCGGAAGCAGGCTCGCACCGAGCCTGCGTAAAAATTCTAGCAACGCGACGAGAACGAGCGTCGGGATTTCCCAGAACGCGACAACGACCGGCAAGGTTAAATTTTCCCTTGGAAAATTTGTAAATTCTGGTAGAACGTTTCTACCGCATACCGTAAATCGTACTTTTGCACTTTGAAATACGTTTCGTACCGCGGCTCCGTTTCCGTCCCTTGTTTCGCGCGGAATCGATCGACGCGCGACGAAGGGACGATAAGATAACGAATAGAAACGAGATAAGTCGAAAATAACGTCGAGCGGCGAGAATCGGAACAGAGGTAATTTCGCTTCGAGAGTAGAATCGGGCGAAAGGCGAACGCGAACGCGAACGTGAACTCGAATTCGACGCTCGTTCCGTTTCCCGTTCGATTCGAAAATCGCAACCGCCCCGATCGTTTCGATTCTGTCGACAGCCGGACTGGGTGCCTCCGGAGATCATCGACATGGTGCAAGACGACAAGCAACGGTGCATGGAAGAACACGGCACGTCGGAAGGTTGGTATCGAAACTCGAAACAACTTCTCTCGTCCAAGAACGGGGGACCGTACCCCGTTTCCCGGAAAGCTGCGACACGCTCCGAAATCCGTGAAACTTCGGAGAAACTGGTATATACTCGGACGCTCTAAACGCGCTTCGAAACTCGCCGTATCGACGACAGCGATCTTTGTTCGTCGCAGAGTCGAGCAGCCACCACCCGGTGCAAGTTTTGATTATTTTTGCTTTCGCTTTTCCTTCCCGAGAACCTCGCGATTATCGATGGCCCGAAAGAATATTTGGAGCAGCGAGGCGCTCGGATACGCTGCTCGACGCGAGCGAAACGACTCGAGAAAATTCGAACAGAGTCGCGTTTAAGAACGCGTCGCGGTTCGACCTTCGCGCGATTTCTGCGATTCGCGCGACGCGACCGATCGCGGGACGACTTCGAATTTGAAATAATCCGCGATTTCGTGGCGCAGCGATGATCCAAGAAGTGGCCCAAGGGAAGATATCGTCGGATAGGTCGATCACGTGTTACATGTACTGTCTACTGGAAGCATTCAGTTTGGTAAGACGATATATATAACCTTCGAACGAACGACGTTCCATTCGAACCGATCGATTCACGAACGAGCCGTGTTCGGTTTAGGTCGACGACGAAGCCAACTTGGAGACGGACATGCTGATGGGAATACTGCCGGAACACTTGCAGGACCTGGCGGAACAAATTTTGGGCAAATGCAACCCCGCGGGTACGCGTCCGCTCGTCCATCCGGCTGCCGCGCCGAGGCCCTCGTGGACGCCTCGCCTCCCGAGCGTCTCGCGACATCGCGGATGCTCGCCGTCGCCGACCGAGAATAGTGGATATTTCGGCGTTCTCGAGACCGAACATTTTCGGATCCTAGATTCGAGCGTTCGAACCGGAGCTTCCTAGAGCCGCCTAGAGCCGCCTAGAGCAGCGCCTAGTGGTGTGCCGGTTCGGTGATACCGAAGCGGCGAAACAAAATATCCGGAACCCTTGCAAGTTGCTCGAACGGCTTGCGAGCAAACGCGTTTCTTCCATGCGTACACGGAGGAATGAAAGGGCCTCGACGCGGTAGCGGATCGACGAATGCCAACCCTCGAGCAAACGGACAAAATTCTAACTCGTGGATCGCCGTTTTCAGCTGGCAGCGACAACTGCGAGAAGATGTACAATCTCGCGGTGTGCGTCCAGCAAGCTGTGCCGGAGGTGAGCGAAATCCAAAGTTTCCGTTATTACTTCGAGACACCGATTCTCGACCCGACCTACGTGTCCGTGACATCGAACGGCTTCGTTCGCGAACGTGCGGATTCGAAAAGAAATCGCCGCGAAAAGTCTCGAGATGCATCGACGATCGAGAAATCTGTCCCACCCCGACTCCTACGATTCGTTCGTCGATAATACGGAGACGCCGCGGACAGTTTCTATATCGCCGTATCGGTGTTTCGTCTCGTGTTCCGGCATTCCGAGAAATCTAACGATTACTCCGAACGTATTCCTCGACGTAACCGTGTAGAACGTACTCGGTAGGAGGAACACGATTCGAATAACTCGCAAAACAGAACTCTAAGAAACGCGCGCGGTTTCGTTTCAGATGTGGTTCATCGTCTAAATCACGGGGAGCGTCGTTTCAACCGGACCAGCGAGAGGGAAGTCGAATCGCTAAACGAGAAACCGATCGAAAGGATTATACTACCCATCGACGTCGACGGCAACGGAATCGGAATCGGAATCGGAATCGGAATCGGAATCGGAATCGGAATCGCGATCGGAATCTCGATCGAAATTAAAATGAAAATCGGCGCACGCGATCGCATTCGGCGAAGCAAACTCGATTATTTGTACGAAACAGCGTGTATAGACACTGTAGTTCATTTAGGATAAATAACTCAACCCACAAGCTGCCGTACTGTAAATACGACTCTCGAAACACAAAAATGTATTAACGAGCGAACGAGAGAACGACCGCGAACGAACGAACGAACGAAAGAGAGATCGACGACGAACAACCGACGATCGAAATTCGTTCGTTCGGCGACGTGGATTTCGAGTTTCGCGTTCACGCTCCGTCCACCTTCGTTTCTACGATTCGATACTTTCGATGCGACAACGGACGGAACGTGTCTCCGACGACGAAATCGAGATCCTCGCGCGACGTTCCTCGATCGAAAATTAATCGATTTTCCGATTCTGCCGGCCGGATCCTCCGTTCCTCCGGAGTTAATTCGTTCTTTAGAATCGGGAAAGAGAGAGAGAGAGAGAGAGAGAGAGAGAGAGGGGGGGGGGGAATAAAAAACGGACGGCCGATTCGTTTGACCGACGATCGCGTTACGCGATCGAGATTCGATCGACGAACGGCGCGGGTGAATCGGCCGATCCGGGACGCGTTGCCGCTAGAATTTTCCGTGACAATCTAATTCGCGAGTCGTTCCGGCACGCTCGACCCAGATTACATGTTTACATGTTTTCGGGCCGAGTTCCCTTCCCCTCCCACGCCCACCGTTTCGCGAGAGTGACACGCCGGGTCCTGCACGCGGCTTCCTAAGTGGTATCCTCGGTATTGGGATAATTTTCCGACGACTCGTCCCGCGGAACAACGCCCGCTCTTACGCAACACGTACGCGTATCGGCGCGCGGCACGCGAGAGCAAGCGAGAGCGAACGCGAGCGGAAGGACGTTACGATTCGGCGCGTTTCTTCTCCTACGACGAGAAAATTCGTCTAGGAGGCGCCGCGACGGATCGTCGTTCTTAGACAACCAACAACGACAAGCAACGTGCTACGTACACGCGGCAGCTTTCTCGCTCTCGGCCGAGTCCGCGAGCTTTTCGATCGGGTCGTTCGCCGCGTACAGCTTTGGAACGCGAACAAAGATCTCGAACTTTGCCATTGGCTCGATTCTTATCGTTCGTTGGATTCGTATCGTCGTTTTATCGGATATCGAACGAAATCTCGCTGGATCTCGAACGTGAAAACTCTCTCGCTACCCAAAAGCAAGTTCCGCGCGCAGTCGCTTCCACGCTTCGACCGCCGTGCCAACGAGTACTTTGTTCGAACGAATTCGAATCGACGAATCCAAGTTCTCGATCGGTTCGTCGACGTTCTTACGTTTCGGCATCGAAGATACCATACCAGCGGCGATGGTGCGTTCGCTCCGGGTGGAACGAACCGCGGACTCGCGTCGGCAAAGTTGCTCGACCGTTCGCGAAGCCGAGTCGATATCTCTCGGTCTCTCTACCGAGGGAAACTTTCGCCGCGAACTTTTCGCGTTTTATCGCGGCGAATGCGACCGATCGAGGAGCATGCGAGGCGAGGCGAGGCGAGCGGACTTTGACCCGAATTCCTGGTTGCTCGTTTAAATTCGAATCGACCGCGTCTCGACCGGGTGACCGCGCCTCCGAAACCGTCGCGTCGCCGTTTCCCTCGGCCAAGTTCTCCCAAGAGATCTTTGCTTCCTACCGCTCCTACGCAAACGTGCCATGCGTGATCGTGCAGAAACATCGCGGATCGCGACGTATAGGTGAAAAGGCGAAGGAATCTGGGAAACGGTTCGACGTACCGAGGGAACGGGACGGGCGATCGGCGGGTCGCGGTTCGTTGCGCGCTCGGGAACGCGAGAACGAATCTTCCTATCTGCGCAACGAATTCCGTGTCGTTGGAGCAGAGAGTAGCGCGCGAGCGAAAAGACGGCAGAGTCTGTGCGCGCGTAGAGAAAAGGATGCACAAATGGGAAGAGATACGTGGTCGAGTACAAAGAAAAGGAAACGCGGGAAGCGGGAAGCGGGAAGCGGGAAGCGGGAAGCGGGAAGCGGGAAGCGAGAAGCGAAGCTACACGAGTTCGGGGAGAAAGATATACGAGTCGAGGGAGAAAGTAAAACGAACGGAGATAGGATAATGGAAATAAAGAGAAAAAACACGAGCACGAGAGCACGAGAGCACGAGTAATTCGAGTATAAGGAGGAAGGCGCGTACCGGTAGAGGAAGCAAGTCGAACGAATAGAAATAGAAATAGGTTCCGAAGAAAGTACGCGAGCGGAAAGACGAAGAAGGGATTCGGAGTTCTCTCCGTGTAAGTATCGAATAAAATATCGTCGTCGTCGTCGAATTCCGCCGGATCGCGATCGAAGAACGGAGAAATCGGAGTCGGAATCGGAAGAAGCGTCTGGAGTCCCGTGCACGGAGAAAAATCTTGAAACGTCTATTTTTACGCGGCGGCTGGAAATAGTCGGTTTTAATGAAAAGAGGCACGCGATCGGTGGCCCGTACGTTGCTCCAGTCATGACTCACGCTTCGAACGCGAACGCGAACTCGCAACAAGTATAGGGCATAGGTCCCCCGCGACGCCCGTGCCCGTGATATCCCTCGCGATCGATCGCGGCGAGCCGCTCCTAATATCGTCGATTCGGAACTTGCACCGTGCGGCGCGTCGCGTTTCCTCGCGATTCCTCGCGTTTCTCAAAAGCCGAACGGTCCGACGGTGCAACGACCAAGATCGTCGCGGGAGCTACGATGCACCGATTTTCTAGAAAGATGCTCGGCGAATCGATCGTTCGGTCGATGGAAACCCGATTCCGTTGCACCGGTATTTCTGGAAACCAACGTATCTTTCGTACGGATCGGCGCGAGCGATCACCCTGGCGACGAGCGATCCAACGACGCGCGGGCCACCCGTTGGACGCGACGTCGGATCCTGTGCGCGCGAAACCGTGCTCTCCGATGGGAAAGTAACTCGTTCGGTGCGCGAAATCGTTTCCTCGACGGAAGATGGATCGATCTTTGTCCCGAGATCGTTTCGATCGATTTCCACGAAGACAAAACAAATCGTAGAAAATTTAGCGTAGAAAGTAAAAATTGGTGTGTGTGTGTGTGTGTGTGTGTGTGTGTGTGTGTGTGTGTGTGTGTGTGTGTGTGTGTGTGTGTGTGTGTGTGCGCGCGCGCGCGTGTGTGTGTG